TCTGCGGGCTCTTTGCAGGAAGGAAGGAGGGCAACTTATGTACATAAACTGGGTTGGAATAAAATCTCGGCAGCAACCCCTACAAAGCTAGTTAGTTTTGCACCTTAGACAATCTGAAAGGTTTGTGTGTGGTTTTATCTTCTTGTTACACAAGTTTATCTTGTGCAACCCAGAAAATTTGGCTTAATCAAGGAAAACATGTGTATTGCTTCCCAGACTGATAACAGATTTAGGAGTCGTTCAAATAAAAAATCAACTGAAACTCCCCCATCCTTAGAGACTTACCAGTCTATTAGAAGAAAAATCATCCTTATTTTTTTAAAAAATCATCCTAGTTTTTTGAGGTCTAAGAATCCCAGCAGCTGAACTATTTCACTTCCAAAACCAATATATTTCCAACGCGAATATTTCTTTAATATGGGGTTGTTGTTGTTGTTGTTTGTTGTTGTTGTTGTTGTTATTATTATTATTATTATTATTATTATTATTATTATTATTATTTATTGGTTAATCTTTAGTGAGATTCACAGCCTTTGAGGCTGGTTAATAGCTCAGTAGCTCGAGTCCTAACCAAGGACCTAGGAACTGTTAAGGTATCGTCGGAGGATGTAAGCTGTTCCGAGTAAGGTGGTTTTTTGTAGAGTCAAAATGTTCAAGTCCGGCAAATTTAGAATTTCTAAATAGCGGGGTAGCCCTTTGGGTATTGCTCCGAGGGCTCCAATTACAATCGGAACAACACACGATTTCTTTTTTCACAGTCGCTCAACTTCAATTTGTAAGTCCCGGTACTTTGTGATTTTTCTTGCTGCTTATCTTCAATTCGTGCATCACCAGGTATTGCAATGTCAATGAACCATCCTTTTTCTTTTCAACTATTGTTATGTCAGGTGTGTTGTGGACCAAGTGCCTGTCAGTCTGAATCCTAAAGTCCCACAAGATCTTGAGTTTCTCATTCTCTAAAACTTTCTCAACCTGATGTTCCCAGTGGTTTTTGCTGTACTCAAATCCAAACTTCTGGCACAATTTCCAGTGAATGATTTTAGCAACACGGTCATGGCGTTGTAGGTAGTCAGTTTGTGAAATTTTGCTGCACCCACTGATCAGGTGGTCAACTGTCACTGTCTTTCTTTTTCATTGCAGAGGCGGCATTTGCTGTTGGTGGTAACATGTTGAATTTTTGCCTTCATACAGTTGGTGGCTAGGGCTTGTTCTTGAGCTGCCAAAATAAAAGCTTTCTGTTTCTTTTTTCAGTACTCCTGATCTTAACCAGTTCCAAGTTAGTTTCTGGTCAGACTGATAACAGATTTAGGAGTTGTTCAAATAAAAAATCAACTGAAACTCCCTCATCCTTAGAGACTTACCAGTCTATTAGAAGAAAAATCATCCTTATTTTTTTAAAAAATCATCCTAGTTTATGGAGGTCTAAGAATTCCAGCAGCTGAACTATTTCACTTCCAAACCAATATATTTCCAACGCGAATATTTCTTTAATATGGGTTGTTGTTGTTGTTGTTGTTGTTGTTGTTGTTGTTGTTGTTATTATTATTTTATTATTATTATTATTATTATTATTATTATTATTATTATTATTATTTTATTTCTATACCGCCCTTCTCCTGCAGGACTCAGCCAAGATAAAACATTGCATATAAAATTTAAAAACGATTTAAAAAACAATTAAATAATTTCGGCCCAAGATATTAAAAACCACCCAATTAAAACTGAGAGGATGGGATCAAGCCAGCCCGGCTAGATGGAATAAGTGTGTTTTCAGGGCCCAATGAAAAGTCCGGAGGTCTGATATCGTGCGTATCTCAGGGGGTAGGTCATTCCAGAGGGCAGGTGCTGCCACAGAGAAGGCTCTCCTCCTGGGGGTTGCCAGCCGACACTATCTGGCCAACGGCACCCTGAGAAGGCCCTCTCTGTGTGAGCGAACCGGTCGGTGGGAGGCTATTGTTAACATTTTAAACGCTTTTAAAGACCAACAGAAGAAAATATGTGTAGCTCAAGGTTGAACTGGGAGGGGGGCAGTGCTAGAAAGGAATGGGGTTTGCGCTCTGTTTATATACAGGTAGTTTTCCACTTACAACAATTCATTTAATAATAATAATAACTTTATTGTCATGGTATGTGTATACACAGTATACCCGTACAACGAAATTCACTTAACACCCAAAGACCAGGTCCAACAAACATAACAATCCCCAAACACACTCCCACCCACCACAATTCTCCACCCCTAAACCACCCAAACATCCACACAACAGACCAAGTAATGCTATCCAGCAGCTCACTGATGGTGGCCCTTTAGTTCATTGTTGAGTGCAATTATAGCTCTGGGATAAAAACTATTCAGAAAACGTGTGGTCCGAGTTTTAATTGTTCGGTATCTTCTGTCAGAAGGCAACAGTCCAAAAAGATTGTAAGCAGGATAGGAAGAGTCTCTGAGAATGTTATACAACTTCCTCAAACAGCGAGATTCGAAGATGTCGCCCAGGGCTGGTAGCTGGAGTCCGATGATATTCCGGGCAGTTTTAATGATTCTCTGTAGAGCTTTTCTGTCTGCTACAGAGCTGCTCCCATACCATGCGAGAATGCCGTATGTCAGGACATTCTCAATGGTGCTGCGATTTAGCGACCAATCAAAGCTACAACGGCACTAAAAAAAGTGACTAATTACTGTTTTCATACTTATTTATTTATTATTCATATTTCTATGCTGCCCACTCTCCGAGGACTCTGGGCCGCTTACACCAAAGACAATATACTAAATAGCATATTGCCCCCAACAATCTGGGTCCTCATTTTACCCACTTCGGAAGGATGAGTCAACCTTGAGCCGGTGAGATTTGATCCGCTGATCTGCTGAACTAGCAGTCAGCTGAAGTAGCTGCAGTACTGCACCCTAACCACTGCGCCACCTCGGCTCAGTTATACTTATGGCCGTCGCAGCATCCTCATGGTCACATCATCAAAATTTGGATGATTGACAACTGACATGTATTTATGACCGTTGCAGTGTTCCCGGGGTCATGTGATCACTTTTTCCGACACTGTGACAAACAAATTCAATGAGGAATCCAGATTCACTTAACAACCGTGTTGCTAACAACTGCAGTGATTCACTTAACAACCGTGGCAAGAAAGGTTGTAAAACAAAAATTTTTTGGCTCAATTGTGGTCATAGGTTGAGGACTACGTATACAAGTGGGTTTCCCTGTGAGAATTGGCGGGAGTGTTTTTAGTGGTTCCTCGATTGCGGTATCGTTTATTGCCATGATGGCGAACCTATGGCACACGTGCCAGAGGTGGCACACAGAGGCCTCTCTGTGGGCAAGAGCGCCGTTGCCAGCTGCTCTTCTGGTTTCCAGTGAGCGCATGCGTGCTGGCCAGCTGATCTTTGCGTATGCTGGAGCCCTGGAAACCTGACGACCAGCTGGCCGGTGCACATGCGCATGCTGGCCAGCTGGTCTTCAGGTTTCTGGGGCTCCGCTGCGCGCACATATTCCGGTTAGGGCACTCGGTTAGGTTGGTATGGCATGCTTTCTTGTGTTATGGGAAAAATAAGATACATGTTGTGGTCCGCCAGCAACCTGCGGACCTGGCAGCGGAGTCAGACAGTGAGGAGGCTGGGGGGGACAATGGGCCAGTCCTAGAATCTGGGGAAGGCTCGGACGAGGGCTCTGCGTCGGAGGCAGAGATGGGGCCAGGGCCATCTGGGAGCGATGCACGGGCTCCGGAGCCTCCAGAGGTAGAGAGCAGAGAGGCAGAGGAACGGGAGGAGCCTGTTCCTAGTGCATGCATGCGAAGAGCTGCCAGAAGGCAAGAGCAGCTGAAGCAAAAAGGACAACTCAGGAGTAAGGCCAGAAGATGATTGGCCTCTCCCATAAGACTTAAAAAAGCAGCAACGAGCCGTTGGGTTCTTTGTAGAAAAGCAACGTTGATTCCAGTGCTTCTTGTCAGCGTCTCTTGAACTTTGAAAAGCCTTTGGCAGGTTGCCAAAGACATCAACGGTTAGTGATAAGGCCTGGTAGGACTGGTTATGAAGAACTTGTTTTGGATGAAGCTGAGAATGAATTAATTCTCCGCTGTTTTAATAAAATAAGTTTGTTCAGGATTGAATTGTGTTTGGTAATCACTACGTGGGCCTCGGTCACGACAATACATGGATATTTTGAAAGGCATTACATAAGGAATGCATTAATGCTAGTTTGGGAGAAAATTAAAGAACAACATTATTTGAGGATCCCAGTCTCCTTGCTTTTCTTTGTACAATTTTACTTTCCAAGAATCCAACAACTTTTGATCTGTCTTTACTGAAGAAAAGTTTAAAAGCCATGAGGAGAGAATCCTAACAGCCAGTGGTGGGTTCCTCCCGGTTCGGTCCGGTTCGGCCGAGCCGGTAGCAGTGATGATATGATGTAACCAAACCGGTTGTCCCACCCCACCCTTCCCCCCACCCCCCCACGTTATTCTTACCTTTTATTTGGTCACAGCCCCAATCTATTGCTGCCTCTTGAGTCCCAGCTGATGACTAGAGGGAAAAAAACTGTTTAAACTCTTGCCGGGGGGCTTCAAAGGGCCGTCCTACAGCTGATCAGTGTTAAAAGCAAACAAATGAGTCGGGTCGTAAGTGCGAGGGCTGGTCGTAAGTGCGAGGACCTTCCAGAAATGACTCTGACCAGCTAGCCACGTCCACCTAATCACATGACTTCCAAGCCACACCCACAAAATAAGCCACGCCCACAGAACCGGTAGTAAAAAAATTTAGAACCCACCCCTGCTAACAGCTGCAGTGCTGCTTGAAACAAAGCTTCCTTACAGAAATAGCAATTTCGAACTTCTCGTTCTTGCAATGATGTGCCTGCTCCTTGATTTCTATCTGCAATTCGTATTGATCATGGCTCATTTTACGATCCCTGGTTGTTTCCCAATTGCCAGGAAAAAAAAAATGGGACTGACTTTCACCCCCGTTTTCCTTTCTCCTCCTTCCCTGGCAGGTGTGGTTCCAGAACCGGCGTTCTAAGGAAAGGCGCATGAAACAGCTGAGCGCACTCGGAGCCCGCAGGCACGCGTTTTTCCGCAGCCCCCGCCGCATGAGACCGCTGGTGGACCGTTTGGAGCCCGGCGAACTCATTCCCAACGGGCCGTTTTCTTTCTATGGAGGTGAGTAAAGCATGCAGGATTGATCCACGGGGAATGGATAAGACATCAAGACGGGATGGCAGCAGTGGTGAAATGTAAAATTTGTTACTAACGGTTCTGTGGGTGTGGCTTGGTGGGGGGTAATGTGACTGGATAGGCGTGGCCAACTTCTTCTTTTTTTTACTTTTAAACACATTTTTTCTACAACCTTAAGAAGTGGCAGAAAAAAATGCTTTTAAAAGCCTCTGACGATCAGGCAACTCAGCTGGGATCGTCAGAGGCTTTTAAAGGCATTTTTTTTTCCTACAACCTCTTCAGTAGGGGGAAAAAATGCCTTTAAAAGCCTCTGACGATCCCGTCTGAGCTGCACAATCATTAGATGCTTTTGTTTTTTTACTTTTAAAAACATTTTTTCGGCCGAAGAGGTTGTAGAAAAAATGCTTTTAAAAGTAAAAAAAAAAGCCTCTGATGATCGTGCAGCTCAGCTGGGCATGGGGGGGGGCAGGGATTTTTGCTACTGGTTCTCCGAACCACCCACTGCCATTGCTACCGGATCAGGCGATCCGGTCCGAACTGGGAGCATTTCACCCCTGGATGGCAGCCAAGAGATTGGATTTCACGGTTCTGGCCTTCGGCTCTCTTCCCTTTTGTTGAGATTACACACACACACACACACCCATTTGCACTGGGAAGAGCAGGGAACAATGGAAACAAAAATGGATGGATAGCAGCTTTTTGTTACCAGGGTGAGGCTGTCCAGATAGTCCTCAACTTACCACAGTTCATTTAATGACCGTTCAAAGTGACAACGGTCCTGAAAAAAAGTTAACTTATGACCATTTTTCATAACTTATGAGCTGCGGTGGCGTCGTGGTTAGAATGCAGTACTGCAGGCTACTTCTGCTGACTGCCGGCTGCCTGCATTTCGGCATTTTGAATCTCACCAGGCTCAAGGTTGACTTCCATCCTTCCGAGGTCGGTCAAATGAGGACCCAGATGGGGTCAATAGGATGACTCTGTAAACCATTTAGAGTTAGAGTGTTTCTAACTGAACAACTGCAGTGATTCACTTAACAACCATGGCAAGAAAGGTCATAAAATGGGGCAAAATTCACTTAACAGCCATCTCGCTTAGCAACAGAAATTTGGGGCTCAATTATGGTCGTAAGTTGAGGACTCCCTGTATTGGGGTTTGTATTAGGGTTTTATTTTTGTACGCTGCCCAGAGTTACCGTGAGTTGGGCAACTGTATAAATTTAATAACTTAACCTCTTCCTTTCCTTTCTTTTCTCCATTCACTAGATTATCAGAGTGAATATTATGGACCCGGAAGCAATTATGATTTTTTCCCGCAAGGACCTCCATCTTCCCAAGCGCAGACCCCAGTGGATCTCCCCTTCGTACCCTCCTCAGGACCATCAGGGACCCCACTTGGGGGGATGGACCATCCTTTACCTGGACATCACCCTTCCAGCGAAGCTCAGCGTTTCACAGACATCATGTCCCACCCTCCCGGAGACTCACCTAGTCCAGAACCCAATTTACCTGGCTCCTTGCACTCCATGTCAGCAGAAGTCTTTGGACCAAGCCCTCCATTTTCATCCATATCGGTCAACGGAGGTGGTAACTACGGTAACCACTTGTCGCATCCGCCGGAAATGAATGAGGCTGTTGTATGGTAGCTTTAAAACACCTGGAACTTTCTTTGGAAGGCATGGGTCAAGCAATTTCCATCCTGCATATACCAAGATGTATAGAAATGAGTTCCAAGAAATAGACATTTTTCCCCCACCCCCGTTCTGCCCTACATTTATTTTCGCTCTTTTTTTTTTCCTCATTCGGCTTAATTCTTGGGAATTAATTGAATTATTCAGAGCCCAGGGAAATTTTGCTATAAACTGGGGGACAATCTTAACACAATAGAATTAAGGAAGACTGCTCTTTTTTTCCCCCCTTTTATACTGAGTGAAAAAGACACTCGTGAAGTGTTTCGATACTGCAATATATATTATGGGATGGCATATCCTTGGATGCTCACAGCACGTACGATCCCTCTAGGAATGGAGAGGAATAACCTTCCATCAGGAAAAAAAAGAAACTAGTACTGAAAAAACAAAAGCAAGCCAAGGTCCATAAGAACAAAAAAAAAAAAGGGGAAAACGAACAGCTTAAAAGAATTCTAGCGATTTTAAAATTTATGGTTTTATTGCTTGTTAATTTTGCCTCTGAAAGTTGAACTGCAGTTCACCGTGACAAGACTTTTCAAGCCTCTGAAACGCTTCTCAGGCAGACAAAATGTAGTTTATTTTATTGTTCTTTTGGGAAGGGATTTTTGTTTTTTTGGGGGGGGGCGGGCGGGGTGACCAGAGTAACAAATATTTAAATGTTAGCCCTCAGTATCAACTTTCTACCTTCTCCGAGCAACACACACCAATAATCCTCAAAAGACAGAAGTCCTCTTTGGCTTTTATGTTTAAAAAGAATGACTTGAAAAAAAAAATGAATAAAGTGTTCTACCTTCACAAAAAAAATAAAAATAAAAGCTAAACAAATAACAAATAAAGACTCTATGGAACTAGGAAAAAAAAAACAGTCAACTGTTTACGTCGAATGTTAAAATTCAGGAGCTCAATGTTTTACAAAAAATAATAATCCTGTTTTAGAACCTCTTGTTCAAAAGCAAAGTATTTTGAGCAATCAACCAAAATCGTGTCATCTTTGCTTTATTTTTCCTTTGATTTCCCCCACCCACCCACCCTGTAGATGTAATAGGACATTACAGGGCTTATGATTCACTCTGCTAGTTTGTTGAGATGGTGTTTACACAAGACAAAAGAAGACATACCTTTAAAAAAAAACCAGACGGTTGCCAAATAAACAATTCTATAGCACAAAATACTTGGGTGTAGCTACCCAACAGGCCAGGAAAATCTTTTAAACCAAGTGTTACAAGCTTAATTGGGGGGGAATTAACATCTTTGCTAATGTTTAGTCCTGTTGAACATTAATGGAATTGTTAATATGACTTATATAGACCCCACAGGTTTTATTTTTGTGTCTTTAAAAGAAAGTCCAAAATATTTAAATTTTATGATCAAATATGCAGTCAACAGCTGCTACTTTTTTTTTTCTTTATATATTAAATTTCTCATAGGTCTTTTATTGTTCAAATAAAACTAAGCTCGTGTGACCTCCAGTGCATATTAGACCATTCACTGTATGAAAGGGGGGAAAAGTTGGATTAAAAGAATTTGTGAATTTTTAATAAAACTAGAAAATCTGATATTTAGATCAGCCGTGTTTCATTCAGTGCTTTCAACAAGGTTACGTTGAGACTATCCAAAACAAATAGGTTAAAAAAAAAATGTGGAATTATTTTAGGGAATTTGCTATAGAGTTGTTTCTCAAGCTTTGCAACTCTGATGTATGGACTTCAATTCCCAGAGTTCCTCTTGTTTAGGATGGAATTCTACTCCCAGAATTCCTCAGCCAACGTGCTTTAAGATGTGTGGACTTCAATTCCCAGAATTCCCCAGTCAGCTAATAAATAAATTCCACACTTTTTAAAGGTGCTAAGTTTGAGAAACACTGTTTTACATCATTGGTTCTCCTTCAAATTTCTGTAAGAATCTAAAACCAGCTTTCAAGACAATCCAAAGATGAGTTTAATTTTTTTTTTATATCATTTTCCATCACGCTCAGCTGGAATGTGACGGTGGACATCTTTGTGAAATTTTGAAGGGAAACCTAAGAAAAGTCTTCTCTTAGTATTTACAACTGCAAACACTGATTTAAAAAATCAGCAGTTTCAACCTTCTGAAGGTGTTAAAGACATGAAATTAAATATGTTCCAGATTTCTAACAAGTGAGCCATCCCTGTGGTAAGATCTGGTATAAGTGGATTTCTATGGCCAATACTGGATTTGATTGGTTCTGGGTACACCTTCAAAGGCAACGTTGGACCTCTAATGCCTAAAACAAAACTGAGCCCCATCCATGGAAACTCAGAGGGTCAGGTTGTGGTGAGGGAAAGCTTGAATAAATATAGGTACCAATTGGCCACAATTGAGCCCCAAATTTCTGTTGCTAAGTGAGACATTTGCTAAGTGAGCTTTTGCCCCATTTTACGATCTTGTTTGCCACAGTTGTTAAGGTTTTCAAAGATGGCACCATGTGCCATGCAACTGGGCTGGCCATATCATGACTGCAAAAATCCAAACTTCTAAAACTGAACTGTGGCCCCTTTATGGCTTGTGGACTTCAACTCCCAGAATACTTGAGCCAGCATGGCTGGCTCAGGAATTCTGGGAGTTGAAGTCCACAAGTGATAAAACGGCCATCGTTCCCCACCCCTGCTCTAAAACATGACTTTGCCACTCCCTAGTGGTGATCCACATTTTTGCAGCCTAGAAACCATAGATCTGAAAAAGAGAAAGAAGCCCGATGTACAATAATCTGTATCAACTCTGCTCAACTCCATACAGGCCCCATACAGGCTTTCTTAGAAAATAATAACCGGTTGCTGGTTCCTTTCCCAGTAGTGTGTGTGGAACTTTGTCCCTTGCCTGGAAGTGGGGAAGGCAAAAATAATTGGATGTGGTAAAGATGATTGCTGGGCCTGCTGGAAAAAGCCAACATGCCTTTTGGTGCTTAGCATGGCAGCCATTTTGTGAAAAAGTCATAAACACCCCCTCCTGTCTTGGCAGCCATTTTATGGGACATCCCACAGCTTCTCCCCAAATTCCTCAGCAAAGAACTGCAAGTGTACAATCAACATGTGCATGCACAAATCTCTATGTGCACATGGGAGTCATTCAGTGGTGGGATGCTACCAGTTCGCACCGGATTGGGCAAACCTGTAGCGGCAGCAGGAGGCTCCACCCACCGACACTTCTGCACATGTGCAAAGTTCTGCGCATGTGCAGAAGTGCCATGCGCACAAGCGAACCGGTACCAACAGGATTTGGAACCGCCCCTGGAATCAATGCATATTTCATAGGCCAAGATAGACCAATCAGCAAAGCCCCGCCCCTTTTATGCATCTGGATTTTAAAAGGGGAGGAGCTTTGCATGCTCATTAAAAGGGGTGGAGCTTGGATTACATGTAGTGATGCTATCTTGTTTATATCAACCTCCTCTACCGACGCCTCTCTGTCATTGCTTCTCTGCTCAACACTGCCTTAGGATTGCGGTGTCTGTGACTATGTTTGTGTATCAATCCAGCAATCATGGTTACTCTTGGACTCTCCTAACTGCAGTGAAGGAGGCTATGATCTATCACAAATAACAGCAGGAGGGAATATAATGTCAATTTCTCATGGGCAGGGATGGCTGAGGAATTCTGGGAGTTGAAGTCCACAGGACTTAAAGTCGCCACAGTTGGGCACCCCTGCTCTATATATTTTTGGGGCAGAGTTATGATTTTATTTTTTGGGTCTCTGTAATTTAAAAAAAAAAACTTTTTAGACAGTCAGTTGCCCAGGGTCATTGGGAGTCTGGCAGTTTAAATGGTTAAATAAATGAGGAAGTGGGTGGTTCCCTTGGCATAGCAAGGAGCTTATTTCTGAATAAATCTCTCCCACAACTGGCAAAAAATGTTAATTGAATCGGAGAGTGATTCCCATCCAACATGCCTTGCCATAATATTTACTGCTTTTCTAGATTGGAAAAAAGAAAAGCAGTACCCTTGAGGGGCATGTAGAAACGCAAATTTTACGTGGATCAATATATTGACCTTGTTTTCCAGTGAGATCCATTCCAGCCCCAATGGTGGACGCAAGTCGAGGACTACATGTACTGTACACGCTCACCTTGTTTTCAAACTGCCTTGCTTTTCAAGAGATAAGATGTTCTCGCGGCATTCCGACTCTTTCAGATTGTTTCAACTTCTGCACAATTTGTAGTTCTGAATTCAAGAATCTCCCAGTTGAGGACGGAATGGATGGAGGTGTTTTGACTACATTTGACTCGCAACTGGGAGAAGACACAGTCAATAGGGCTGAGACTGTTGTGTGACAGCAGCCATTCTAATTTTGATGGGAGGGGTAAAGATGAATCCTAAAGACTAATGGAGAAAGTCTCAGGGTCCTATAAGCTTTTGATCCTGCAATCCATCATGTTGGTTTAGTCTCTGATCTACTCAATCCCAAATCTGCCCTTCAAAACCCTTTCTTTGCATACAGAATTACAGAATAACAGAACTGGAAGGGAGCTTGGAGGTCTTTTAATCCAACCCCTGGATTAAAACCATTAATCCCTGTACCATTTGGAATGGCCTTGCTAATTTATTTCAGGTTTGTCCCCATGTCTCAGATTTGTAGAGATGTTTATCAAGAATGGAATGGAATGGAATGGAATAGAATAGAATAGAATAGAATAGAATAGAATAGAATAGAATAGAATAGAATAGAATAGAATAGAAATAACAGAGTTGGAAGGGACCTTGGAGGTCTTCTAGTCCAACCCCCTGCTTAGACAGGAAACCCTACACCACTTCAGACAAATGGTTATCCAACATCTTCTTAAAAACTTCCAGTGTTGGAGCATTTACAACTTCTGGAGGCAAAATTGTTCCACTGATTTATTGTTCTAACGGTCAGGAAATTTCTCCTTAGTTCTAAGTTGCTTCTCTCCTTGATTGGTTTCCATCCATTGCTTCTTGTCCTACCCTCAGGGGCTATGGAGTATAGGTTGACTCCCTCTTCTGTGTGGCAACCCCTGAGATATTGGAAGACTGCTATCATGTCTCCCCTAGTCCTTCTTTTCATTAAAATAGACATACCCAGTTCCTGCAACCGTTCTTCATGTTTTAGCCTCCAGTCCCCTCATCATCCTTGATGCTCTTCTCTGCACTCTTTCTAGAGTCTCAACATCTTTTTTACAACGTGGCAACCATAACTGAATGCAGTATTCCAAGTGTGGCTTTACCAAGGCATTATAAAGTGGTATTAACATTTCATGTGATTTTGATTCTATCCCTCTGTTTATGCAGCCTAGAACTGTGTTGGCTTTTTTGGCAGCTGCTGCACACAGCTGGCTCATATTTAAGTGATTGTCCACTAGGACTCCAAGCTCCCTCTCACAATTACTACTATTGAGCAAGGTACCACATATGTTGAATGATTCTGGGCCAGCAAGAAACTTTTGGTTATTTATTTTTAAAAATCCTTTATGACCTTTCAACTCAGACAATAGCTATTTGGACTATATTTCCCAGTCATATCTACTGGACCCACCAGAGCAGGGAGGCAGGGAATGCTACGGGTCTCCACTCCTAAGGAGGTCCATCTTGAGGGTCCAAGAACAAGGGTCTTCTCCATGATGGCCCCCTCCTTGTGAAACATCATCCCTGTGGAGCAGGGGTGAAATCCAGCAGGTTCTGACAGGTTCTGGAGAAACAGTAGCAGAAATTTTGAGTAGTTCAGAGAACCGGCAAATACCACTTCTGGCTGGCCCCAGAGTGGGGAGGGAATGGGGATTTTGCAATATCCTTCCCCTGGAGTGGGGAGGGAATGGAGATTTTTGCAGCATCCTTCCCTTGCCAGGCCCACCAAGTCACACCCACAGAACCGGTAGTAAAAAATTTTGGATTTCACTACTGCTGTGGAGGTAAGATTGAGCTCCCACTCTTGACTCTTTCCAATGGCCTGAAGACACAGATCTGCCAATGAGTAGATATGGAACCCATCAAAAGAGCCTTGATAGTACAGTGGTTTAGTGCACCCTGTTATTAACACAGCTGCCTGCAATTTCTGCTGGTTCGAATCTCTCCAAGGCTCAAGGTTGACTCAGCCTTCCATCCTTTCTAAGGTAGGTGAAATGAGGACCCAGTTTGTGGGGGCAATAAGCTGACTTTGTATAAAATATACAAAAGAATGAAGGCTATTGCTTAACGCATTGTAAGCCGCCCTGAGTCTCCGGAGAAGGGCGGCATATAAATCAAATTAAAAAAATTTTTTTTTAAAAAAAATGGTTTATCAGAGTTTTGTCGCCAAGGGATTGGGAGTGGTGTTTACTGGACTTTTTGTATTGGGCTTTTATCTTTATAAACTGCTCCGGGTCACTTCACAGAGTGAATTGAGAGGCCATGTAAGTTTTCTAAATAAATAAATAAAACTGGGTAATCAATGCAAGGTTAAAACAGAACCGTTAAGCCAGCAATCCAGGATTCAAATGTATGCAAGATCACCCGATGGAAACTCTTAATTTTCTGCCCTTATTTTTACAAATAAGGCAGTCAACTTATCCAACATATATGCAACCCAAACAGACATAGGAACAAGGCTGCAGAGGGAAGTAGAAATGACTTGCCCATTCAGAAATGTATCTCGACCTACGACCACAATTGAGCCCAACATTTAGGTTGCTAAGTGAGACATTTGTGGTGAGTTTTGCCCCATTTTACGACCTTCCTTGCCAGAGTTGTTAAGTGAATCCCTACAGTTGTTAAACCAGTAGCCCCTTTGTTAAGTGAATTTGGCTTCTCCCGTTGACTTTGCTTGTCAGAAGATCGCAGAAGGCAATTACATGACCCCGGGGACACTGCAACCGTCATAAATATGAATCAGTTAGCCAAGCATCGGAATGTTGATCACATGACACCAGGATGCTGCGACAGTCGTTAAGTGTGAAAAACGGTCCTAAGTCACTTTTTTCAGTGCCGTTGTAAACCTTGAACGGTCACTAAATGAACTGTGGTAAATCGAGGACTACCTGTATAAAAAGCAGCCTTGACACTAGTGTTTTCCTTTCCGTTCTTTGCACCCCATTCCTGGAGTTGCTGCTTCTCCACCATTTTCTACCTCCAGCAACCTACCCCATGCTTTACAAATCCCGTTATTCCGGAGCACTCTTTAATTCAAGGCCTCCGCCGAAGAGGGCTTTAGAATAACAGAGTTGGAAGGGACCTTGGAGGTCTTCTAGTCCAACCCCCTGCTCAGGCAGGAAACCCTACACCACTTCAGACAAATGGTTATTATAATCATAATCATAAGTTTATTTGTCAAACATATATGAGATAACTGGTAAAAGAATATAATATAAATATAATATAATATAATATAATATAATATAATATAATATAAATATAATATAATATAATATAATATAATATAATATAATATAATATAATAGTACATAATTTGAATACATGAAAAGAGTAAATAAAAAGGAATATTAGGATAGGGACGGTAGGCACACTGGTGCACTTATGCACGCCCCTTATCCAACATCATCTTAAAAGCTTCCATTATTGGAGCATTCACAACTTCTGCAGCCAAGTTGTTCCACTGTTGTTCGCTTTAATCCTCTTGCCAACGAAGACCCGGAAAATACATTCCATAAAACTGCCATTAAAAACATATTAAGAGGTGCTCTGTTTTATTCAAAAGGCTGCAGCGTCCGTATAGTGCGCGCGCGCGCTAGACCTCGGGCGAGGCGGGGCCTCGAGGCTCCGCCCACCGCCGTTTCCGTGGAGAGAGGCCCCGCCCTTCGCGCTGCCCCAATCACCGCCTCCTCCTCTTCCTGACGGGACAAGATGGCGGCGCCCTTAGCGGCGGAGTTGGAGCGTCTCCTCAACCCGCTGCCCCGAGCCCAGCCTGACCCGGAGGACGACCCCGAAGAGGGTGAGGGCTCGACTGCGGGGCCGGTGCGGAAGGCTCCGAGCTGGGTTTGGCTTCTTAGACTCTTAAAGGGGTTGGGTTGAGAATTTGGAGGGGTGGTGGTGGTTGTGTTTCCACGTGGCTTTCCGACGTAGCCTCTGTACACGTGTCGTGTGTGAGAGAGCTGGGACGGAAGGGGGGGCGCCTGTTTCGAACTCTGCCCCCACCCTATGGGCTGAAAACCCGTATCTTGGCCCTGGGAGAGGTCGGTGCCTTCCCACTTTATTTAATTAATTTATTTTATTTAATTAATTTAATTATTTTATTTTATTTTATTTTATTATTTTTTATTTTAGTTATTTTAGTTATTTTATTTTATTCTATTATTTTATTTATTTTATTTTTATTTTTTTATTTATTTTGCCAAGCATATATAAGATAACAGATAAAAGTATAAACATAATTTGAATACCTGAAAAGGGTACAAGTAAAAAGGGACATTGGGACAGGGACTGTAGGCACGCTGGTGCGCTTGAGCAAGGGATGGATAAACTTGTGAGGGTAGGAGAGGCGATGGGTACGTGTGGAAGGGAAATGTCTATTTATTATTTATTTTTTTTATCAAATTTCTATACCGCCCTACTCCCCGGGGGACTCAGGGCGGTGAACAGCCTAGATAAAATACAGATAATACAAACATTAAAAGTCCATTAAAATTATTAAATATTTTGGCCGAAAACAGATTTAAAACACCCAATTTGTAAAACAGATTAAATGATTTAAATGGAGAATCTATGACTGAGAATCTATGACTGAATCTATGACTGAGAATCTATGGAGATTCTCAGTCATGCAGGTCCTGGTTGTCCCAAAGGTGCTTTTTTTTCTTTCCCAAGAGGCAACTGGACTTTCTTGGTTTTTCTTTGAAGACGTTTCGCTTCTCATCCCAAGAAGCTTCTTCAGCTCTGACAGGATAGTGGCATTTCTTGCAGACAGCTGGAAATTTGCAAATTTGTCTGCAAGGAAATATAAATCTTTCCGTTCCCCGCCATCCAAGTCAGAGCTGAAGAAGCTTCTTGGATGAGAAGCGAAACGTCTTCAAAGAAAAACAAGGAAGTCCAGTTGCCTCTTGAAAAAAAGCACTTTTGAGACAACCATGTCTTAGATGACTGAGCATCTCCATAGACATTTCTCTGAAGACGTTTCGCTTCTCCTCCGAGAAGCTTCTTCAGCTCTGGCTGGATGGTGTGGAATGGAAGGATTTGATACTCCTTGCAGACAGCTGCTCATTTGCATCCTTTAAGAGAGTCCTTGAGGCCACTTGGAGGTTTACCTGTGTCCTGAGGGTCACCTGAGTAGTGTAAATGGTTCCTGTAGTCTGCAATTTTTCCTCTAGAAATCCATTCCTACTCCCACGTCATTCAAAGGGAGTTTATCTCAAATTGTACAGCTAAAAGTCTGTAGAGATTCTCAACCATCCAGGTCCTGGTTGTCCCAAAAGTGCTTTTTTTCAAGAGGCAGCTAGACTTTCTTGTCTTACTTTGAATACGTTTCGCTTCTCATCCCTAGAAGCTTCTTCAGCTGTGACTGGATAGTGTCATTCCTTGCAGACAGCTGGAAATTTGCAAATTTGTTTACAAGGAATATAAATCCTTCCGTTCCCCGCCATCCAAGTCAGAGCTGAAGAAGCTTCTTGGATGAGAAGCAAAACGTCTTCAAAGAAAAACCAGAAAGTCCAGTTGCCTCTTGAAAATAAGCACCTTTGTGTGTGAAAGGGAAAGAATGGGGAGGGAAAGCATAAACTGGGGCTGGAACTATATTTCCCCCAAGGAGCTATAGGGACGGGGCAGTTGAAAGGGCAGTGATGGGTTTCGGAGTTACAGTATTCTGCTTTGGGAGAAAGCATCACAACACACCAAGAGAATTAAAATAGCCATTCCCTGGAAACTCCCTGGGGATATCCATTAGTATGACAGTAGTAAGAATCTATGGAGATTCTCAGTCATCCAGGTCATGGTTGTCTCAAAGGTGCTTTTTCAGGAGGCAACTGGACTTCCTTGTTTTTTCTTTGAAGACATTTCGCTTCTCATCCAAGAATCTTCTTCAGCTCTGACTGGATGGTGGGGAATGGAAGGATTTATATGCCTTGCAGACAGCTGGTCATTTGCATCTTTTTAGAGAGTCGTTGAGGCCGCTTGGAGGTTTATCTGTGTCCTCAGGGTCACCAGAGTAGTGCTAATGGTTCCTGTACTCTGCAGTTTTTCTGGAAATCCGTTCATACTCCCACACCATTCAAAGGGTGTTTTTGTCAAAGTGCATAGCTTATTCCATTCCCCACTATCCAGTCAGAGCTGAAGAAGCTTCTTGGATGAGAAGCAAAATGTCTTCAAAGAAAAAAACAGAAATCTAGTTGTCTCTTGAAAAAGCACCTTTGGGACAAACGACCTGGATGACTGAGAATCTCCATAGATTTTTAGCTATGCTCTGCAACCGCCATGATTTCAATTACAGATAGTCCTTGACTTAAAACCATCCATTAAGTGAATGGCACTGAAAAAAAGTGACTTATGTCCAGTTTTCACACGGCCGTTGTGGCATCCCCAAGGTCACACGATCAAAATTCGGGTACTTGACAGCTGACATGTATTAATGACACTTGCTCTGTCCCGAGATCATATATTACAAATGATGATCATCACACGTGACATATGTAAAGCACTACAAAGTGGTATATAAGTCTTAAGTGCTATTAAGAGCACTTAAGATCTGTGGTGGCGCAGTGGTTAGGATGCAGTACTGCAGGCTACTACTGCTGGCTGCCTGCAATTTGGCAGTTTGAATCTCACCAGGCTCAAGGTTGACTCAGCCTTCCATCCTTCCGAGGTGGGTAAAAGGAGGACCCAAATTGTTGGGGGCAATATGCTGACTCTGTAAAACCGCTTAGAGAGGGCTGTAAAGTACTGTGAAGTGGTATATAAGTCTAAGTGCTGTTGCTATTTGTAACTTCCCAGTCAGCTTCCAACAAGCAGAGTCAATGGGGGAACTTGATTTGCTTAACGACAGTGTGATTCACTTAACAACTGTTGTGATTCGCTTAACAGCTGTGATAAAAAGAATCATAAAATGGGTCACAACTCACTTAACAACTGTCTTGCTTAGCAGCAGAAACTTGGGGCTCCATTGTGGTCGTAAGTTGAGGACTACCAGTACTGCCTTTGTTAAGCAGCACAATCACAATTTCCATGTGAGATGAGCAGCAAACAAATTTAATAAATAAACTTTATTTATTTATCATAACTTTGAACGGTCGCTGAATGAATGGTTGTTAAGCGAGGACTACTTGTAATTTATTTAATGTACTGTACCACTGCTATCCAAACCTCTTACTAATAATGCATCAACCAAACACGGTAACCCACAAGTAGAAAGAAACGTGCTCTACATAGGGCTACCCTTGAAAAGTGTTTGGAGACTACAGTTGGTCCAGAACGCAGCCACGCGAGCTGTCGTGGGTGCACCCACATTACACCAATTCTCCGCGAGCTGAACTGGCTCCCTATTGGTCTCCGGGCACAATTCAAGGTGTTGGTTATTACCTTTAAAGCCCTACATGGCTCAGGACCAGGGTATCTTCGAGACCGCCTTCTGCCGCATAGCTCCCAGAGACTGGTAAGATCCCACAGAGTTGGTCTCTTCCGGGTCCTGTCAGCTAAACAATGCCGGTTGGTGGGCCCTCAGGGGAGGGCCTTCTCTGCGGCTGCCCCAGCTCTCTGGAACCAGTTACCTCCTGAGGTCTGGACCATCCCCATCCTATTGGCCTTCCGAAAAGTGGTGAAGACCTGGCTTTTCCGGCAGGCCTGGGGCCGTTGATCTCACTCTTGTGATCTGGCGAGATCCGGCCATGAATGGTGTGAATGGGTTTTAATTGTTTTTCATGTTTTTTAATTTTTCAATGTCTTTTTATGATGATTTTTTAAATGTGTTGTGAGCCGTCCTGAGTCTTCGGAGAGGGGCGGCATATAAATTTAATTAATTAAATTAAATTAATGAAATATAAACTTTATTTTATTACAAACTATTCTAAGAATACGAGTTCCAGGTATATTAGTTACTTTATTTTATATCAAGCTCGACTTCATGAGGCTGGCCATGTAGGTTTTGTTGGAGTAATACCATGGAGTTGGCTTTGTATTGTGAGAAGGTCCTTGGTGTTCTCTAACATTGGTTGTTTTCTTGCAGTCATTTTATCACCATACTAGATAACATCAGTTTGCAAACCCCATGCCCTTCTAGTACTGGTGATGTTACCTAGATGGGTAATGAAATGTCTGCAAGAAAACAACCACGCTCAGTGCGCACCAAGGACCCCTCATTTCAACCCAGAGCTAGCTAGCTATTGATTGATTGATTGATTGGTTCGATTTATACGCCGCCCTTTCTCCGGAGACTCAGGGCGACTTACAATGCGTTAAGCAATAGCCTTCATACTTTTTGTATATACCTGCTTAGTAGGGCTTTCGGCCCCCACTAAGTAGTGTTCTTTTTTATACAAAGTCAGCTTATTGCCCCCACAATCCGGGTCCTCATTTTAGTTTAGTTTAGTTTAGTTTATTAGATTTGTATACCGCCCTACTCCCGAAGGACTCAGGGCGGTGAACAGCCATGAAATAAAACATATCAATACAAAATTTAAAATAGAAATAAAACAAGTTAGATAAATTTGGCTGATTTTACCTACCTCGGAAGGATGGAAGGCTGAGTCAACCTTGAGCCTGGTGAGATTTGAACTTGCAGTAATTGCAGGGAGCTGGTGCTACTTAACAGCACTTTAGTCTGCTGCGCCACCAAGGCTGTTATAATTCTATAAGTATTCTTTATTGCATGAAGGTTTATTTTTCAACTTTCTACTCCAGTTTTCAGAAGGCCTTGAGGTCTTCTGATGACTTAACATCCAAATAAATATTAACCATCTTCAACTCTTAGCTTTTTTCCATGATCAGCAAGCTCGATTGGCTGCTGCCACCTGGCGTGAAACGCTGGTCTTTGGATAGATCAGCAGTGTTTAATTGACGGCTGATTAGATTAAAAGGTTCATTATTTTTAATTAGCAAATGGGGTAGCTGATTATCAAAGATACCTAGATATTACAAAGATAATATGAAAAATGGCTGGGTCAGGCCTTTTATTAGAAGAGGCCTCTTCTCTCTGTCCTCATGAAGAAGAATGACTCTTCTCAAATCACGCTGGGTGCGACAAATGTATGTATTGTCCTTTTTTAAAATGGCATTTTAATCATAGGCTGTTTTACGACAACTCATCTGGCATGATTGAAATTAATCAGCCGAGGCTCCCCTGTTTGAGTGATATTCATGCTTTACATCCTTTGTGTCTGAACCAGTTAAGAGTTAGCAGCACTGCCTCTCCGATGCAAATTCTTTCTCCAGTGGTTCAAAACTATAATGTTAGATTGGAAAAGTTTGTTATGACTTCCTGGGAAGTGAGGGGGAAAAAATAATAATCTTATATCAGGTCCAGCAATCCAGGTCAAGCTTTTAACCCTGAGAGCAATTTTACAAAGTTTTGGTAGAGGAAGGTTTTTTATTGCAGTGAAGATGATGGCAAACAAATCTAATCATTTAATACAAGTAGTCCTTGATTTAACAACAAGTTCATTTAGTGTCCATTCAAATTTACAACGGCACTGAAAAAAATGACTCAGACTGTTTTTCACAGTTACCACCTTTGTAGCATCCCCAGGATCATGTGATCAAAATTCAGATGCTTGGCCACTGGTTCATACTTATGACCGTTGCTGCGTCCCAAGGTAGGTCACGTGATCCCTCTTTGCGACCTTCTGACAAGCAAAGTCAGCGGGGAAGCCAGATTCACTTAACAACCGGGTAACTAGCTGATCAACTGCAGTGATTCCCTTAACAACAACTGGAGCAAGAAAGGTCGCAAAATGGGGCAAAACTCACTTAACAAATGTCTCACTTAACAACATGTGATTTTTGCCCCCATTTTACAACTTTTCTTGCCACGGTTGTTAAGGGAATCATTCCATTTGTTAAGTTAGCAACACGGTTGTTAAGTGAATCTGGCTTCCCCCATTGACTTTGCTTGTCAGAAGGTCGCAAAAGCTGATGACTTGACTGCAGGGCACGGCAGTCGTCATAAATATGAACCAGTTGCCAAGCATCTGGATTTTGTTCATGTGATCGTGTGGATGCTACAGCGGTGGTAAGTATGAAAAACGGTCAGGTCACTTTGTTCAGTGCTGAACAGTCACTAAATGAACTGTTGTAAGTCGAGGACTTCCTTTAAGGTGTCATTAAGTGTTGTACCTTGTGATTCTTGACAAATGTATCTTTTCTTTTTATGTACACTGAGAGCGTATGCACCAAGACAAATTCCTTGTGTGTCCAATCACACTTGGCCAATAAATAATTCTATTCTATTCCATTCCATTCCATTCCATTCTCTTTCTTATTCTCTTCTCTTCTCTTCTATTTCTTATTCTATTGTCTTTCCTATTCTATTCTATTCTATTCTATTCTATTCTATTCTATTCTATTCTATTCTATTCTATTCTATTCTATTCTATTCTATTCTATTCTATTCTATTCTATTCTATTCTATTCTATTCTATCTGTATATCTTTTTTGGGGAGTCCAGCAGAGTTAGCAGGTAACATATCCAGGGGTGCCAGATTGTCTTTTCCTGGTATAATATTTCCATGCTTCTTTGATCGGAAACTTGAGTGCTGAATATTGATAGGATTATATTAAACAAATCTTGGAAGGGGGAAATATGCTGGCTGGGGACTTCTAGGGAGTTGAAGTTCACATGTCTTCAACTTGTCAAGTTTGGAGACCCCTGGATTAGTTTGAGATTTGATTGCTACCTTTGTAATACCGCACTCAGCTTGATAACTGAATTAACCTATTTTCTGGAGTTGTAAGATAATATTGGATCATAAAGTAACCAAGAAGGCTTGTGAAGCTCAGCTGAATTGATGGACCCATGGCACCCTGCTACAGGGGTCTGATGAGAAAGGAGGAGATTGGATGAGCCGGGACTCGAACTAACCACCTCTTGGTTTTTCCTCTGTACAGCTACGGCAGCCAAAGTAATCGACAAATTTGACGAAGGGAACCTTGATGAAGACGTCCTTTCTGTTGGTCAAATACGGAAAGGAATTGCCTCTCGGCTTTTGGATGCTGATAAGCGGTACCAGGGAAAAGCTACAACCCGCAAAGCCTTAGAAGAAGAGTTGTGGGGCGTAGCTGAGCTGCCAGGTGAGTTATTACCTGTTTTTATTTTCTAACCAAACTGCTATGGTTTTGACAGCCCACGAACAGGTTGCATCTATCTTGCAAAATTGTGGTACTTCGGTACTCATCGTTAATTGGTTCCAGGAGGTGTGATGAGTACCAAAAACTCTGAGTACCAAATAAATTTTTTCCCATAAGGCAGGGGTCAGCAACCCGCAGCTCTGGAGCCACATGTGGCTCTTTTATCCCTCTGCTGTGGCTCCCTGTCGCTGGTTGGCGCCACAATTTTGAGAGGAGCTTCCAGTTCGGGGGGGGGGGGGGGGGATGGCATGCCAGGAGGAGACTCTGTGGCAAGGGACGGGTTTTCCGATCGGCTCCACAATTGATAGGGCTTTTGGTTAGGACAGGTGGGGGAACCGGACTTCCGGTTGGCTCCAGAATTGAATGGGGGGCTCCCAGTTAGGACCTCTGTGGCTCTTTGAGGGTTTAAGGTTGCCGACCCCTGCCATAAGGAATAATGTAGTGAGTCACAAGGCAGCCGACACTGACAAGTTCTAGCTTGTGCTTTGAGTACCAAACAAATGATGACAATGAGTACCAGGACAAAAAAAAAATTGCATCAAAAAGCATCGAGTACCAAATTCAATGAATTTCAAAGTACTTGAGTACCAAGGTACCGCTGTGTTCATACTGTCCTGGCTCAAACAATTTCAGGGATTTGTGTTGCATAAAGTAGCATGTAAGTCTTTAAGAAAATGATCCAAGATTATTATTATTATTATTATTTTTTTAGGAAAAATCAAAATAGCTATAGCAAAAGCTTATTGCTTTTAGGTAAAGGTAAACGTTCCCCTTGCACATATGTGCTAGTCGTTCCCAACTCTAGGAGGCGGTGCTCATTTCCGTTTCAAAGCTGAAGAGCCAGCGCTGTCCGAAGATGTCTCCGTGGTCATGTGGCCGGCATGACTAAATAGGGAGCAGGATGTGTACCCCATTTATGTCCAGTGGCTGGCATCTGGCATCAATTCGTTCAGAGAATAGTAGAATAGAATAGAATAGAATAGAATAGAATAGAATAGAATAGAATAGAATAGAATAGAATAGAATAGAATAGAATAGAATAGAAGAGAATAGAATAGAATAGAATAGAATAGAATAGAATAGAATAGAATAGAATAGAATAGAATAGAATAGAATATTGGCCAAGTGTGATTGGACACACAAGGAATTTGTCTTCGGTACATAAACTCTCATTGTACATAAAAGAAAAGATACGTTTGTCAAGAATCATAAGGTACAACACTTAATGATAGTCATAGGGAACAAATAAGAAATCAGGAAACTATCAATATAAATCGTAAGGATACAAGCAACAAAGTTACAATCATACAGTCATAAGTGGGAGGAGATGGGTGGTGGGAACGATAAGATTAATAATAGTGCAGACTTAGTAAATAGTTTGACAGTGTTGAGGGAATTATTTGTTTAGCAGAGTGATGACGTTGGGGAAAAACCTGTCCTTGTGTCTAGTTGTTCTGGTGTGCAGTGCTCTATAGCGTCGTTTTGAGGGTAGGAGTTGAAACAGTTTATGTCCAGGATGCGAGGGGTCTGTAAATATTTTCACAGCCCTCTTTTTGACTCGTGCACTATACAGGTCCTCAATGGAAGGCAGGTTGCTAGCAATGGTTTTTTAGCTGAAGTTTGTTCAGGATTGTTAGGAACAGTGGGCAGTGTGAAATGATAGCTTGTTCTATCTAGTCATTCTGCTCCGTGTGTTTAAAGCACACTCAAGTGTCAAACTCAAGGCCCGGGGGCTGGATCTGGCCCGTGGGGGTGCTTAGATCTGGCCCATAGGGCTGCTCTGGGGACAGCGAAGGATTGGCCTGCGGTGCCTCTGCCAGCGAAAACGGAGCTCGGGAGGGCCGCAGGTGGCCCTCCCGAGCTTCGTTTTCACTGGCAGAGGGTTACAGGAGGCCATTGCAGCCAAAAGCGGAGCTCGGGAGCCCGTTAACGCTGGCAGAGTGCTCGGGCCACCACAGGTGCCCCCGACACGAGTGACATCGAGCTGGCCATGCCCAGCCTGGACATACCCACTCTGGCTCCCTGAGGTCAAACATAACCCTGATGCGGCCCTCAATGAAATCGGGTTTGACACCTCTGAGGCAGGGAAGGGTCTCGGGGGTCCTTCATTACAATTTTCTCTTTAAATATTCAGGTTTAAAACAGTGTTTATCTTTCCAGGCTCTTTAATTTGAAAAATGTCTTCTCTTGCCGCACGCCTTTCCTCGCTGCCTCGTTTTATTAATGGCATGGCTTTTATGATATATTTGAGTTATTCCTCCGGTGTCGTAATATCTGTTGCATAACGGATGGTATGTAAACACTTTAAATAATAAAAGGATAACAGAGGCCTGTTTTCTTATTGACATAAATTGACCATGTTATGATGTGAAGCACTAGCAGAGAACATTCTCTCCCATGCCCCATTCTCTGATCAGTCACACCACGCCGGCAGTCTTGAATACAAATTACGTAAGTTCCCTATTCTTTTCAAGAGTGTAGATTTTATTGTGATTGGTGCCCTGCCAGACGTTTACACATTAAAAATAAAAATTTACCAGTAAATCTGTAGAGTCTATACAGGTGGTCCTCGATGTAACAACAGTTCATTTAGTGACTATTCAAAGTTACAACCGCATTGAAAAAAAAGTGACTTATGACCATTTTTCACACTTATGACCGTTGCAGCATCCCCATGACCACATGATTTACATTCAGATGTTTGACAACTGCTTCATATTTATGACAGTTCCCAGGGTTACGGGGTCACCTTTTCTAGCTTTCTGACAAGCAAAGTCAACAGGGAAGTCAGATTCACCTAACAACCATGTTACTCACTTAAACAACTGTTAGTGATTCAACTAACAAAATGTTAAGTAAAATGGGACAAAACTCACTTAACAAATTTGTAACTTAGCAGAATAAATTTTGGGCTCGATTGTGGTCGTAAGTCGAGGACTACCTGGATAGATTTTCCTTAGAAATTACAAGTAGTCCTCAAGTTACAACTGTAGTGGAGCCTGCCCTTTATAGTCTTCAGTTGTGACGGTCGTAAAGTGGATCACCCATGTGACCAACCTGATTTTATATCCTTTTTTTTTTTGGTGGTAGTTGTTAAGGGAACATGGCAATTATTAAGTGAACCAATGGTTGGCGATGGGTGATTTTGCTAAATACCAGAAATAAATGCCAGTTTTTGGCAAATCCTTTGTAAAATGCCATCACATGACTGCGGGGCGCTACATACTGGTATAATGTGGGCTGGTTGACAAGTACTTAAAGACTGGTCACATGACCAGGGAGTAGTGGCTGTTGGAAGCTCGAAACTGGATTGTAAGTACTCCTAGGGAGGTCCACTGTAATTTGAAGTGACTGCTAAGTGACCAGCCATAAATCAAGGACTTTGTGAGCTGGTCTTTTCAGCCCGGTCCTTAATTGCCCCATGTGGGCACTTTGACATAGTTTGTAGGTTCTAGCAGAAAAGCGTAGCTATTAACCGAAGATGGGTACATTCTTGGCGCGATGGTTCAGTTGGTAAAGACGCTGAGCTTATCACCTGGAAAGCTGGCAGCCTGAGTTTGAGACCTGAATGCCACACGATGGCATGAGCTCCTGTCCTTGTCTCAGCTCCTGCCAACCTAGCAGTTGTTGTGGCCCGCCAGTGGCCAGCAGAGCTAGTGACAAACTCAGACAGTGAGGAGATTGGGGAGGAACATGGGCCAGTCCTGGAGTCTGGAGAAGGCTCTGATGAGGGCTCTGCGTTGGAGGCAGAGATGGGGCCAGGGCTGTCTGACAGTTGTCAGCTGCCTTCGGAGTCGGACATCAGTGGGGCAGAAGAACAGCTGGAGTCTGTTCCCAATGTGCGCATGAGCAAAGCTGCCAGGAGAAGGGAACAGCTAAGGAACAAGGGTCGACTCAGGAGTAAAGCCACAGGGGGAAGGTGAATGACCCCTCCCATAGGGAATAAAAGAGGAGCAAAAGGGGAGTGGAGTTTGCAACAGACAATTAGTTTGCTTAATCGGTTTGTGACTCTCTAAGACTCCTTGCCAAGTTTTGAAGATATCGGCCTGGCAGCTCTCCAAGCCAGATAAGGTCTGTGATTGTAAATTCTCCCTTGAAAGACTTTGCTGGATGTGAATGAGAGGAATTCACAGTAACTTAATAAAAAGGGGTTTTTGTCGGGACAAAGAATCTGCTTCGTGCTCTTGGGAAACCTAAGTCAGAACAGCAGTTTGAAAGCATGAGAGTAGATAAATAGGTACCACTTCGGTGAGAAAGCTACAGCGTTCTGTGCGCCTTTGGCATATAGCCATGCTGGTCACATGACCATTGTCTTTGGACAATGCTGGCTCTCTTGACTAAGAAAAAGATATGAGCACCGCCCCCTACATGGTTTCGGGGAACCATGGGAAATCTAACCTTTATCAGTGGGGGACCCTCTTGTCACAAGGAACATCAGTTTGGTGGGAAAGAAATTGGCAGCCCATTTTTTTTATATATATATATACTGATGGATCTCGCAGGAACTGTATCTTTCTCATGTACAACATCTTCTCCTACTCTCTTTATGAAGACGTGGGTAAGGGAACGTGATCACTTTGTAACAGGGATTTGATTTAAATCATGATTTAAATCACTAGTAAAAAGGCTTGATTTAAATCAACTCGATTTAAATCATAATTTTTAAAGAGCAACTGTCATCTCTGCTCCTCCTTTGGCCCACTGTTGATTCACCGATAGTCCCAGTGTTGCAGAATATACAGCCTCCTGCTACATAACTAAGCTCCATTTCATGCTGAATAAACTAAATTATTTATGTATCTTAAATAGAAAACTATCTTACGATAGATTTTTACCCCAAAAGTTTTTTATTAAAATAAATTCGATAAAAATCAAAAAAATCCGATTTAAATAAAAAAAATCTGATTTTTTTGATTTTTTTTAAAAAAAATCAATGATTTTTATCCACCCCGCTTTGTAATGCTCACCCATTATCTCATTATTTAATGGGAAAGGCTGTCAGCTAATCAATGGGTCTGATAATCAGTCCAGCTCCTGCTGTGGATAAGCGTGACTTTGAGATTTTAATCTGCTGGAGATTTTCCCAGTGGTCCCTTCGGGCCAAAAACCCCGAGATTGGTATTCTATGTGCCTTGTAAGGTGGAAACCATGAGAAGTGATGCTTTTGGGAAGAGATGTGTGGAATGTCTGTATCATTTCTTTTAACTTTTAATAGTCCCAAATTTCCAGATGGTATTGTATGATTAATGAGGTTTCTTGAAATTTCCATGCTTGTTGACATTGTAAGGCAGGGGTGTCAAACTGGATTTCTTCGGGGGCCGGATCAGCATTGTAGTTCTCCATTGGCCAGGGGGTGGGAGACGGGACGGACGTCTGCTGCAGTACCCTGCTGGCCAAAACAGGGCACGGGGGGGCTTGTGTAGGGCCCCCCCCCGCACCCCATTTTTGGCCTGGACGCCCTCCAGCACCCTGCTGGCCAAAATGGGGGACCTCACGTAGCTCCTCCGCCCCCCCATTTTCAGCCTGGATGGTCTCCAGCACCCTGCCAGTCAATACGGGGCACAGGGAGCCTCACACAGCCCTCCTGCGCCCCATTTTGGCCAGCAGAGTGGTGCAGGAGGCCGTCCAGACTGAAAACGGGCGGCAGGGGGCCTCGCACAGCCCCCTCGTGCCCCATTTTGGCTGCCAGAGGCACCGCGGGCCGATCCTTTGCTATTTCCAGGCTCCACGGGCCAGATTTAAGCACCTTGTGGGCCCGGATTTGGCCCGCAGGCCTTGAGTTTGACACCTCTGTTGTAAGGGAAGAAACATCTATAGTTTTTGAGGTAGGGGTTAGGGCAATTTAAAAAGAGAGAGAGATATGCAGATAAGAATCTGCTGGTAGATTTCAGCTGGGGAGCATTGGCTGTTGGTATCTTTAGTTGCATGTGATCCTGGAGTTGTGGTGTAAAATACTCTTGTGTTCTGTGTACAGTCCTTGACTTACAACCTTCTGAAAATGTGGTGGGCGTTAAACCTCTTTCACCAAAAGCATATTTCCTTACAGTAACTTTCCTGGATTCAGAAACCAATCCTTGTTTTGTGTTTGAATATACAGGTAGTCCTTGACTTACAACAGTTCATTTAGTGAACATTCGAAGTTACAACAGCATTGAGAAAAGTGACTTATGACCATTTTTCACACTTATGAGCGTTGCAGCATCCTCATGGCCATGTGATCAAAATTCGGATGCTTGGCGACTGGTTCATATTTATGACATGTGATCCCCTTTTGCAAACTTCTGACAAACAAAGTCAGTGAGGAAGCCAGATTCATTTAACAGCCATGCTACTAACCGAACAACTGCAATGATTCACTTAACAGCTATGGCAAGAAATGTTATAAAACAGACCAAAATTCACTTAACAAATGTCTCATGTAGCCATATAAAATTTGGGCTCAATTGTGGTTGTAGGTCGAGGACTGCCTGTACAAGTGTAGTTCATTTATTTACTTAACACATTAAATGTTACAATCAGGAGAAAAAAACTGTTGGTGTCACTAGAATCTTTATAAAGCCTAATCTCTAATAATTGGGGAGCTGGTTCATCCTGCATCTCACGTGTAGGTTATTGCTCCTGAAATAAACAAGAAAAGAGTTATAAATATTCTCACTTGTTACTTTCCAGCTTCTTAAAAATCATATTCTCGGTCAAGAATTACCTTGTAGGTTACGAGTGTAGCAGCAGGTGTAAGTCTGTCTTTCACCCATCCTAACCATTGTGTTTTCTTATTGGTAGATGAAGAAACATCAAGTGAGGAGTCAGATGAAGGTGATCTTGACAGTGAATCTCTGGCTGAAGATGAGAGTCCAGAAACAGAGGAGGAAGAGGAGGAGGAGGAGGAAGAGGCGGCCAGTGATGCTGAAGAAGACAAAAAGCTGTCCCACAAGCTGAAAAAACCAGCCTTCAGTTTCCAAGCCATTGATGATTTTGAGAAATTTGCGGAAGGGATGGATGAGCTTGGGAGCGAGGAAGAAGAAGAAGAAGAGGAAGCCAGCTCTGGAGAAGACAACGAAGGGGAAAATGACTCACAGGAAAGTGTGAAGGAGAGCGAGGAGGAGGAAATGGTAGACGTTAATAGAGATCCAGAAAGTGGAATCCTCTTGACTCACTCTCAAGGCCAAGCAGCGGAAGAAGTAGCAAAGGGAAAAGCGGTGAAAAATCAAATAGGTGAGTAGGAGGTTCTTTTTTGTTTCTAGGTGAGGTCTTCGTGGCTTCCTGGGTTGAGAGTCAATAGAGACCCCTTTGAAAGGTAGCAGGGGCCTTGTTTCAGTGATGGGACATGATCAGGGGTGTGTAGATCAGGGGTGGGCTCAGAGGTTCGGGAGAACCTCTGGCTAAGATTCTGTGCAGTTCGGAGAAACCACAAATCCCACTCCTCGCCCGCCCGGCCCCTCCCCAGAGACCCCACACCAGTGGTGGGTTCCTCCCAGTTCGGTCCGGTTCGGCCGAGCCGGTAGCGGTGACTATATGACGTCAATGAACCGGTATATACCGCTTTACAGTGCTTTACAGCCTTCTCTAAGCAGTTTACAGAGTCAGCATATTGCCCCCCAACAATCTGGGTTCACATTTTACCCACCTTGGACGGATGGAAGGCTGAGTCAACCTTGAGCCGATCAGAGTCGAACTGCTGGCAGTCAGCAGAATTAGCCTGCAATGCTGCATTCTAACCACTGTGCCACCATGGCTCTTAATCATCTTAGTTGCTCTTCTCTGTACTTTTTTCAAAGTACAGAGCCTGGTGAGATTCAAACTGCCAAATTGCAGGCAGCTGGCAGTCAGCAGAAGTAGCCTGCAGTACTGCACTCTAACCACTGCGCCACCGTGGCTCTTAGGACCGGTCACCCTGACTTATGACCGGCTTTTACACTTAAAACCGTTGCAGCATCCCTATGGTGAAGTGATCAAAATTCAGATAATACTTGGCAACTGGCATGTATTTATGACGGTTGCGGTATTCCGAGGTCATGTGATCACCTTTTGCGACCCTCTGACAAGCAAAGTCAATGGGGAAGCCAGATTCACCTAACAATCGTGTTTTTAATTTAACAACTGCAGCTGAGTCACTTAACAACTCAGGCAAGAAAGGTTGTAAAATGGGGCGAAACTCACTTAACAACTGTCTCGCTTAGCAAGAGAAGTTTTGGCCTCAATTGTCATCCATAAGTCAAGGACTACCAAAAGCCAAGTGTTTAAAAATTATAACAGTAACAGAGTTGGAAGGGACCTTGGAAGGCCATCTAGTCCAACCCTCTGCTCACACAGGAGACCTGTACTAGGGATTCGAACTGCCGAGCTGCCGAACCTTTCTGATCAACAAGCTCAGTGTCTTAGCCACTGAGCCACCTAGTCAGGATAATTAATTAATTAATTAATTAATTAATTAATTCGAACAGTCACTGCTGGGGATGAGATGCACAAATGACACTGCAAAACAACTTTTTAATTTATTTACATATTTATTGTATACACCGCTGAACCGCCCGTCTCCCTCAAAGACATGTTAAAATGTGGCTGTTAAACTGTGAACAGCTGCAAAAGACAAAATTTAATGTCTCTTATAATTCAAGCCCCACTCCTGAAGATTTCATAGCCATGCACTTTTCTTGGCAGCAATTTGGAAGCTTCACATTGGCCTCTTTCCAGGTTTTCTAACACCCCAGTCCAATCCAGAACCGTGGGATTTTCTGGTGGTCTCCCATCCCAGTACAAATTACACCCAGCTGTGCCTGTTTTCAGGATTGACTATGGGTCAACCACAGGGTGGATTTGATTTAAATCGAGTTGATTTAAATCACAATTTAAATCATAATTTTTAAAGAGCAACTGTCATCTCTGCTACTCCTTTGACCCACTGTTGACTCACCGATAGTCCCAGTGTTGCAGAATATACAGCCTCATGCTACATAACTAAGCTCCATTTCATGCTGAATAAACTAAATTATTTATGTATCTTAAATAGAAAACTATCTTATGATAGATTTTTACCCCAAAAGTTTTTTATTAAAATAAATTCGATAAAAATCAAAAAAATCCAATTTAAATTTAAAAAAATCTGATCTTTTTGATTTTTTAAAAAAAATCATTGATTTTTATCCACCCTGGTCAACCAGATACTGTTACCTGGCAAGCAACCTAGAACTAAGAAGAAATTTCCTTACAGTTAGAACAGTTAATCAATGGAACAATTTGCCTCCAGAAATTGTAAATGGTCCAACACTGGAAGTTTTTAAGAAGAGATTGGACAGCCATTTGTCTGAAATGGCATAGGGCCGTGATGGCAAACCTATGGCAGGCGTGCCACAGGTGGCATGTGGAGCCCTCTCTGCGGGCACACGAGCCGTCGCCCAGCTCAGCTCAACCACGCATGCACGTGTTCCTCCTTCAAGCCAGTTGGTTTTCAGGTCTCGGGGGTGGGGCACATGCGGGAGACGCACACACATCCGTGGGGGTCGCGCGCGCATGCACGGGGGTGGGGGGAGCATTGCATTATGGGGGTGGGCATGCGCACGCGACCCCCCTGGGCTCCCCCTGCTTTGGCATGCGACGGCAAAAAGATTAGCCATCACTGGCATAAGGTTTCCTGTCTGAGCAGGGGGTTGGACTAGAAGACCTCCAAGGTCCCTTCCAACTCTGTTATTCTGTTCTATTCTTACCTGATTTTATGACCTTTTTTGCCAGGGCTGTTAAGCAAACACCAGGGTCATTAAGCAAAGCAATAGTTTGCATGGAGATGGCACTTCTGGCCAAAAACCAGAAGTAACTACTGGTGTTCTGTCCCCCTTCCTCACACAGGCAAACATAATACCAAGCACGCCTGCCAATATTTTATTAGGTAAACAGATTAGAATTCTTGGCAGACCAAGGTTTTGGCAGCAAACTGCCGAATGCCTGCCAAGACCGTTTTCACTCCCATAAAGCAGAAGAGGACTTATCTTCAGTCCGTTCCAGGAGCATCAAATTATCCACGAGACAAGAGTTCAGTCAATGTTCAGTCCAAAATATATTCAAGCCGAATTTCAGAGATCACAATGTGACTTTCAGGGTTTAACTTTGTCCGTCACAAAGCCTGAAGAGCAATCCCACCCACTTTTATTCCTGGTGGGGCGTGGCTCCGTGACTCAGCTCAATCTCTGGCCCTCCCATGCCTCTTCCGTTGCTACGCACGCTTCTCCCTCCAACGCTGCCTGGGATCAAGCCAGGATTCATCATCCTCGCTCCCTATCAATTGGCTGCTCCGATATGCCTTCCTCCTGGCACATCCCAGGCTGTTCCTCCTGGCCTTCAGATGGAATATGAGGCATTGCCAGAGAGGAGGGTCCTGGAGAGGGAGGCCTTGTCAGTTCCTCCCCATCACCTTCTGAGCCCTCTTCCTCTGTTAGGACAGGCTCGGGAGTCGGGGTCACAACAACTGGGGTTTTATTTTGGCAAAACCATTATAAAACAGAGTCACATGACTGTGGGATGCTGCAAACAGCTGTAAAGGCAGCCCCGTTGCTGAGCACCTGAAATGTGATCACATGACTCTGGGGGTGGGGACAACCCTCGGAAATTTGGATCCAGGTCGCAACTACCCCCAGGTAGATCTGTTGTACCTTCAGTCACTAAGTGACCGGTCGTAAGTCGAGGCCTAACAGTATCTGTCAAATATTAATTAAATGGATCACATCTATGACTTTCAATCATTCATTTAGTGACCGCTTGAAGTTACACCAGCACTGGACAAAGTGACATATGATAATTGTTCCCAGTTCTGAAAGTCGCAGCATCCCCATGATCAAAATGGGATCCCATGGAAACTAGAATGTATTTTCAACAATCACATTGTCCCAGGGTCTGACCTTTCCAGCCAGCTTCTAACAAGCGAAGTCACTGGGGGAAACCAGATTCGCTTACTGACCACGTGACTCACTTAACAACCTCAGTGGTTTGCTTAACAACTGTGGCAAAAAAGAGCCTTGGTAGTACAGTGGTCTAAGGCACCCTGTTATTAAGCTGGTTATTAAGACCAGATGCCTGCAATTACTGCAGGTTCGAATCTTGCCAAGGCTCAAGGTTGACTCAGCCTTCCATCCTTTCTAAGGTAGGTGAAATGAGGACCCAGTTTGTGGGGGCAATAAGCTGACTTTGTATAAATATACAAAAGAATGAAGGCTATTGCTTAGCGCATTGTAAGCCGCCCTGAGTCTCCGGGGAAGGGCGGCATATAAATCAAATTTTAAAAAAAAAAAGTCGCGAAGTGAGGCTTTGACAAACAGTTTAGCAGCAGAAATATTGAGCTCCATTGTGATCGTAAGAGCCGCGGTGGCACAGTGGTTAGAGTGCAGTACTGCAGGCTACTTCTGTTGATCACCGGCTGCCAGCAGTTTGGCAGATCGAATCTCACCAGGCTCAAGGTTGACTCATCCTCCCATCCTTCCGAGGTGGGTAAAATGAGGACCCAGATTGTTGGAGGAGCAAGAGGCTGACTCTGTAAACCGCTTAGAGAGGGCTGTAAAGCACCGTGAAGCGGTATATAAGTCTAAGCACTATTGCTATTGCTAAGTTGAGGACAACCTGCAACGCTAGGATAGAATGAATACCGTATTCCGTTAAAATTGCCGAGAAGATTTCTGTAGAAGATTTTGCAGCTGCTTTTTCTTTCCCGCCCTTTTTTTTTATTATTATTATTTTATTTTATTTTACTTTCCTTGTTCTGATACGGCTTTGTTGCTTTAACTGCCTCAAGAGGGAAATTCACCTATAATCATTTAAAATACATGGGGATGGGGTGGGAGAGAAATGGAAGAAAGCTAAACTGTTTGTGTTTTTTGCTTGGATTGAATAAAAAGGACTACTGTGCTCGGAAAGGCAGTTTCTGCATTCCCTCCAAGGAATTTAGATAAGACAAGGAAAAAAAAAATTAGAGTTGTGAAACCTCTCTCCGTGAGGCATCCGCTCTATTTAAAATTACGGCTACGGCAAATGAATGACAGTGAATGTTTTGTGTTTCTCTACCCTCCCCTCATTTCTCTCTCCCCTCCCGTTTCTTTGTTTCTCCCAAAAGCCCTGTGGGATCAGCTCCTGGAAAGCCGAATCAAGCTTCAGAAGGCCCTCTTAATAGCCAACCAACTTCCCCAGCCAGATACCTTCTCCGAATTCAAGAAGAAAGGAGGGCAGGAATATTCTAACGTGCTCAAGAACAGTAAGAATCTGTCTGCGATTATGTATTTTTATAGCATTCAAGCAATAATCAATAATTATTGACAGTATTGATCATGCATTATGAGCTTCCTTACAGACAGGTGGACATTTTGCATACTTAAGAGTGCTCTGACCTAGGCTCCCTTAACAAGAAGGAGGCAGGAATTGATCCTGGCACAACCTCTTTTATTTACACAACTATGAATTACGTTCATTCACAATCACCAAGGTTTATCCAAACAGTTTTTCAAAGGAATATTTCTCAACACATCTTATCTCGCATGGCAAGCTGTCACCTAACTTGTTTCCAACCGCAGTACAAAGCCAAACTTGGCACAGAGTCTCTCAGAGTCATGGAATGAACAAATTGTTTCCTGCAAAAGCCCCTGTTCGCTCCTCTTTTATTTCCTGTGGGAAGGGCCAATCATCTCCAAGGTGTGGCTTTACTCCCGAGTCGACCCTGCTTTCTGAGTTGTTGTTCTGGCAGCTCTGCGCATGCGCGCACTGGGAACGGGCTCCAGCTGTTCCTCTGTCTCACTGCTGTCTACCTGCCTCTCTGCCTCCGACACAGAGCCCTCGTCCGAGCTTTCCCCAGCCCCCAGGACTGGCCCAAGTTCCTTCCCAACCTCCTCACTGTCCGACTCTGCTGCCAGCTCCGTTGGCCGCCGGTGGGCCACAACAGAGAGGAAAAAGAAAAATTGGGAGCTCAATTCATCTCAGCGTATTAATTACACAGAATTAAACACCCATTCCTAGATCTGCTTATTCTACATACAGGTAGTCCTCGACTTACAACCGTTCCTTTAGTGACCGTTCAAAATTATGACGGCACTGAAAAAAAAGTGGCATGACCGTTTTCTACACGTATGACCTTTGCGGTATCCTTATTGTTGGCAACTGACTCATCTTTATGACGGTTGCAAAGTCCCGGAGTCATGTGATCGCTTTTTGCAACCTTCTGACAAAATCAATGCGGAAGCGAGATTCACTTAACAACCGGGTTACTAACTTAAAATGACTGTAATGATTCACTTAACAACTGTGGCAGGAAAGGTCGTCAAATGGGGCCAAATTCACTTAACAGCTGTCTCACTTAAATTTGGGGCTAAATTGAAGTTGTAAGTTGAGGACTACCTGTACTTAAGAAAAAAAAATTAAAAACTTGGGGCCATAGTCAATCTCTTGTGTATTAATTACACAAAATTAAACATCCATTCCTCAGTCTGCTTATTTTACGTAATTCAAGGGGCAAAAGAGATTGGGAATGAGTCTACAATCGCTCTTAACTCCACTTGGTAAACCTGCTTGTCTGTCTTTCCAGGCATTTTTATCTGACATTTCTTTAGGAACCGACTCTGTTTTTAAGACCATGTCTCTGACTCTTGCCTCTTCTCAACCAATTGCCGGCTGATTTTTTTACTGGGAAGATTGGGAAGTGAAAGAGTCAGGGGGTGGGGGAGTCAAAACTTAGGAAAGATGATGGAGTGTAAGAGAATCATAAGGCTGAACACACAGACAAGAGCATGTACAGCTGTTTGAATAGAATAGAATAACAGAGTTGGAAGGGACCATGGAGGTCTTCTAGTCCAACCCTCACTCAGGTAGGAAACCCTATACCACTTCAGACAAATGGTTATCCAACATCTTCTTAAAAGTTTCCAGTGTTGGAACATTCACAACTTCTGCAGGCAAGTTGTTCCACTCATTAATTGTTCTCACTGTCAGGAAATTTCTCCTTAGTTCTAGGTTGCTTCTCTCCTTGATTAGTTTTCACCCATTGCTTCTTGTCCTGCCTTCAGGTGCTTTGGAGAATAGCTTGACTCCCTCTTCTTTGGGGCAGCCCCTGAGATATTGGAAGACTGCTATCATGTCTCCCCTAGTCCTCCTTTTCATTAAATTAGACATACCCAGTTCCTACAACCGTTTTTCATATGTTTTAGCCTCCAGTCCCCTAATCCTCTTTGTTGCTCTTGTTTGAGGTATCCCACAGTCCCGTTTCAACATTTTATGACAGTTGTGTTGAAAACGAGCACTTCCTATTTTTGGCGAAACCACACACATTTGGTTTGCTTAACCATGGTGGTTTTCACTTACTGCCATAAGAAACCATGTCTAACCTGTTTTATGACCGTCATGGCCTACAACTGCAATGGGCAGGTTCCATTTATATGTCGAGGACTACCTGAACTCCAAATGAGAGAGGAAGCTTGTGAGTTTTCCGGAAAAAAAAGTTTTCAGTCCAGGCAGATTTTTCATGACATTGCCTCATGGAAGAATTTGTTTGATGCCAAGGCAGCTAGATTTCATCAGTACTTTGTGACAGATTGTGTTGCTAATGAACCCATTCATACAAGTACCATATTTTTCGGAGTATAAGACACATCTTAGTTTTTGGGGAGGAAAATAAGAAAAAAGCTGATTGGCAGGTGGATTGGCCTCCCAGAATACGCCCAATCATCTCTTCCCAGAGGTGAATTTTAGCAACAGGTTCCTTGGTTGTGAGCTCTGTGCCTTGCTTTTTTTTCTGCCTCTGAAACTCTTTCAGAAAAAACTTTTTTTCCTGCCTCTGAAAGCCTCCAAAAACAGAGCTTCAGAAAAAAAAGCCTCTGAAGCTCTGTTTGGGGGCTTTTTTTCTGAAGCTTCATTTCTGATGCTTTTTTCAGCCTCTGAAACTTCCATTTGAGAAGCTGGATGGGGCTACATTCGGAGTATAAAATGCACCCAGATTTCCACCCTCTTTTTTGGGGGAGAAAGGTACGTCTTATACTCCAAAAAATACGGTAGTTCTCGACTTACAACCACTATTGAGCCCAACATTTCCATTGCTAAGCAAGACAGTTGTTAAGTGAGTTTGCCCCATTTTACGACCTTTCCTGCCATCGTTGTTAAGTGAATCACTGCAGTTAAGTTAGTAGCACGGTTGTTAAGTGAATCTAGCTTCCTCATTGACTTTGCTATTTAGCAGTCGGAGTCACGTCCCTGAAATGTTCATTATATGTCAAAACATTCAGATGCAAAGAGCATTTAAATCATGGCCCAACTGGGGATTAAGGAAACAAGTTGTCCATTGCTTTTGTAATTTAAACAGCCAGGGGTTAATAATCAATACAACCATAATAGACAGGCAAGAAAGAACTAGACTAGAGAGATATACAGTAGTGGGCAAAATTGTGGAAACCTTTTGGGAAAAGCAATCATTCAATCTTGGTTTCACATTATAACAGCTGCAGGACTAAAAGACTTGGTTCACTCCATGGGAAGACGTTGTAAGGCTGTAATTCATGCTCAAGGTTACCCAACTAAGGATTTACTGACATGGTGATCATTTTTGTATATCTCGTTTTTTCTACGTGTTTCACTTTTCTTCTTTATACTGTAACTGTTATTCTAATAGCAAATCCTTCATAAAAGATATTGGATTACATTCTTGATTAATTTATCTTCCCATTGGTATATAATTTTATGGCACTACTCCCCAAAAAAGTGGGGTTATTAGCTAGTTTTAGAAAATACATTTCTATTAACTGGGTTTTATTGCTGGGTTGCTTCTGACTAACAAGTTTCTTTAGTCGGCTCCATAGTTTTTCAATTGGGTTAAGGTCTGGACTATTCCCAGGCCATTCCAGCAATGGAATATGATTATCTTGAAACTCCCCCCCAAAAAATGGTGTTATTAGCTATCAAACCTCAAAAATACACTTTTCCCAAAAGGTTTCCACAGTTTTGGCCACTGTGTACACCTTCACTGTATCTTGTGAAGGTTGTTTCTTTTTGGCTTAGCATCATGTCAGAAGGTCGCGAGAGGTAAATTACATGATTTACCAGTTCCAGGACACTGCAACCATCATAAATACATGCCAGTTGTCAAGCATCCAAATTTTTATCACAGGGATGCGGCACTGGTTGTGAGTGTGAGAAAAATAAGTCACTTTCTTTAGTGCCACTGTAACTTCAAACAGTGACTAAACAAACAGTTGTATGTCAAGGACTGTCCCATACCTGCAACGGCTCCTCGGTGTTTGAAGACCCGCATGCACACACAGTTTGCTGCTTCTTTAAACCAAGGCTCCCCCCCCCCCCCTTTTTTTTTTTTTTTTTTGGTTTAAAAGGCAAAGTCCCAGCAACAGGAAGCCTGACCTTTTAGTAAAACGTATGCTATTAACGTATTTAATGAGATGCATTACAAACGACAGCAAACGACGTGTTTCATTACTGGTCCAAAAACGGTGATATCGTTAAGACCTTTAACAGAAACAATGGTTGACATTTTGATATTTCCCATAAGCAAAACTCAGTTATGAACATGGAGTTTAATACATAAATCCCGTAAAGAGCTAGAAATTCACATATAGGACTTTTTTTTTTTTTTAAAGCTTTGCCAGGGTGATAAAAGAAGATTCTGCACTCTAGCATGGCTTCCACTGATGGTATCTTCAGCTAGTAAGTGCTAAATATTTAAAGGATTTAGAAATAAAATCCTGACTGTCTTAACCAGCTATTGCTACCTGAGAAAGTTCTGCGTTTCAAACATAGATCTCACAAAACCTTTTCAAGACGCTATTTGTTTTCTAGTTAATAGCGCTCAGAACAATGCATGATAAAAACACAAATAAAACACAAATCTGTAGAAACCAAAGCAAAAGAAGCATAATAAAGCAGTCAGTTAAACGGCAGTGGCTAAAACACTATTATAGAAAGTATTATAAACTATTATAAAAATAAAACTACATTTAAATCAGGTCACAGTTATGGAAATACAAGAGGTTAAAAGGCCCAAGAAAAATAAAAAGTAAAACATAATTTACGTGTGATGAATTTCACAGATGCGAGCACAGAAAAAATAGGGAAGAGATAAGAAAAATGAAAAAAGAAAATAAAAGGCATAGTAAAGTGCGCTATAAAATATCAAAATAACAGCGATATAAAATCTGCCTACGGGTAGTCCTTGATTTAGGACTGTAATAGAGCCTGACAATTACAATCATAAAGTTGTAACGGTCG